TACGGTGGCGTCGTTGGGCCTCGTGGCGGGAGGGTTTGGGGGGGGATGGGGACGGTCGGTGGAGGGATGGGGCCGCGGCTGAGCAAAGAGGCGTTGACGGCTGCGGTCGTGGTGGTGAGGAGCAGTGGGAGGAACGAATGGTTGGGGCAGATGTGGGTTATTGGTGGTGGTGGGGATAAGGAGCAAACGTCCCCATCCCAACCTTGGCACTGCGGGATGCTGTGGCTGCTCCGTATGGGGGATGCTCGGGGTTTGGGGGGGATGTTCATTTGCACTGCACGTGGGTATAAGAGAGGGGAGCGCATCCTTTGGGTGCTGGGAGGGGATGGTGTGGGAGAAGTGATGCTCCTGTGTCCCCTGTCCACCCACCGTGGAGTGATGGGGGTGAGGTCTGTCTGTGCCATAAGCGAGACCTCAGAACCGAAGCACGCAGGGTTTATCTCCATAAAGGAGCTGAGAAAAGGCTTTTTTGGGGGGGGGAAATGCCCCCCTTGGACACCCAGCTTGATGCCAAACGGGTCCTTAGCCGCAGAAGCTCAGCGGTGGGTAACAGGGGGTTGTTTTGAGGGCAGGAGGTGCTGCCTGTGCCCTGGGGCTGGGGCAGAGAGGGGGCGCAGACCCCCTCCCATGTCCCCTTCCTGCCATGGGGTGGGATGGGGGGGTCATGGCAAGAGGGTCCTACGGGGCTTTCGCTTTCTCTTCCAGAGCAAACTGGTCAAGTACTTTAGCCGGCAGCTGTCCTGCAAGAGGAAGGTGGCCTTGCAGGAGCGCAATGCCAAGCTGGAGGGTTTCCCCCAGCTCCTGCACTGGTTCCGCATCGTCGACATCCGCAAGGAGGTGATGGAGGTAAGGGATGGGCATCGACTGCAGGTTTGGGTGTTGAACCTCTCCGGTAGTGTTTTCCATCCAGGGGTTTCTGGGATCCTTGAGCAAAACTAGGCAAGGGGACAGCTTTTTCGGAGGTGGAGACTGGTTTGAAGCCGTGTGTTTGGGCCCTGGGGTGGGCTGGAGGGGACGGTGCTGGTGGTGGGGAACGAGGCAGGAGACCAGAGCAGAGGAACCGGGCTGTTTTACTGGGTGGAAAGATGCTGCAAAGCCCATGGTGGGATGTGCCGCCCAGGGTCACCCCACAGCTCTCTTCCACCCACCGGTGAGGACACCCCATTGCTGTTCCCAGTGAAGGACACGGGTGCCAGAGGGACCTCGTGGGTGCTGCCCCCCTTATCTCCTCCCCCCCCTCAGTGGGGGTCCTCTATGTCACCGTTACAGTGTGGTGGTGCCACAGCAGGTGACAGCATCCTTCTGCCACGTCCTGGGCTCCTGCAGGTGAGGGGGTGGCACCCAAAGGTGCTCCTGTAACAGCCCCCCCCCCAAAAGAAGAGGACAGCGTGTGCTGAAGGCACCAGTCCCTGCGTGTGCTCAGGGCAGAGACGGAGGTTTTCACGGTGCTTCCAGATGTCCCAGTGCTGACCTGGGTCTGGACATGCCTGAAACCGTGCAAAAACTTGAGATAAAGCTGAGGTTTGAGCGATGCCCTCCAGGTTTTCCTGGGGATTGGGATGGAAAATGAATGTTTTTGGGTCTGCGACCCAAATGGGGCAGCAGGAGGGAAGAGCTTCTCATCCGCGTGCCCCGAGGAGGTGGTTTAGAGGATGCTCCAGGACGGTTTATTCCTCACTCCTGCCCTGTTCCTCCCCCATCAGGAAATCGCCCCTGGGCAGCTGAGCCTGGAGGAGCTGCTGGACATGACGGATGACCAGGTCTGTGCGACCGTGGAGAAGTTTGGGGCCAACAGCGAGGAGTGTGCCCGTCTGAACGCCTCCCTCTCCTGCCTTCGCAACGTCCACAAGTCCGGTGAGTCGGGCACACCTTGTACCCGCCGGCCGGGTCTCCTCGAGCCCATCGGGGGGGGGGTGAATGACACCGTCCTGTTGCGGTGACAAGCGGGAGTGTGGCTTTGATGCATCAGAGATGTTTGCAGCGTCGTCTCCCGGGGCTGCAGAGCTCCTGCATCCCTGGGGGATGGCTGGGTACCCGCTGCCCACGGGGGACAGCTTCGCTTTGGTGCATCCCTGTGCCTCGGGAGCGCAGGGGAGGGGGTGTCTCCCTTCTCTGGGGTGTGTTGAGTTGTCAGTTCTCAGCAGGGAGGCTTCACCCAGGGAGGGTGCAGCGTTTCTTACGGGGTCCCTTCATGACCCCTTGATTGCAGGAGCGCAACTGGTATCAGGAATGGTGTGGGCAGCAGGACAGGGGCAGTGATCATCCCCCTGTACTGGCACTGGTGAGACCCCACCTCGAGTACTGCGTTTGGTTTTGGGCCCCTCACTACAAGAAGGACATTGAGGTGTTGGAGCATGTCCAGAGAAGGGCTACAAAGCTGGTGAGGAACTGGAGGACAAGTCTTATGAGTAACAACTGAGGGAACTGGGGTTGTTTAGCCTGGAGAAGAGGATGCTGAGGGGAGACCTTATCACCCTCTACAACTACCTGAAAAGAGGTTGTAGAGAGGTGGGGGCTGACCTCTTCTCCCTGATGAAAAGTGATAGGACGAGAGGAAATGGATTCAAGTTATATCAGGGGAGGTTTAGATTGAATATTAGGAAATATTTTTTCCCTGAAAGGGTTACTAAACATTGGAAGAGGCTGCCTAGGGAGGGGGGTGGATTTGCCATCCTGGGAGGTGTTTAGAAAAAAAAAAGGGTAGACGTGGCACTTGGGGACACGGTTTAGAAGTGGTTTTGTCAGGGTAGGGTAATGGCTGGACTGGATGATTTTAAAGGTTTAAAGGTTCCTTCCAACCGATTCCATGATTCTATGAACCAGGAGGCTCGGGAAAAGCTCCTCAGACTTAGCAAACTCCTGTCGCACAGCATCGCCGCAGAGCGAAGCCCCCCCATGTCCCCAAAACCCCTTCCCAGGCCACGCACAAGGTCCCTTTCCCCTTTCCCCTTTCCCCTTTCCCCTTTCCCCTTTCCCCTTTCCCCTTTCCCCTTTCCCCT